ATATATATATATATATATATATACAGTAAAACCTCAACAGTGAAAGCACCCTTCCGACTGTGTCCATATACCCTCTATAACAAGGTGCCCTTAATATCAAAAATGAGCCACAAAAAGCTGGATTCCATATTGACAATAAGTTTCTTAATTTTAAAGCCCCCATTTTGTTTGGTGTAAGTAAGCAGCATTTTTGTGTATACTGTACAAACACTAAATAAATAAAATAAAGAAATATACATCTTTTTAAATTTATTTCTATTCCATAGGTATAAAAATACATGTATATGTAAAAAGTTACCATGCATTTGTACATCACACACATTACATCATTAGCACAAATACGTGTATAGAAACTTATACTCTTATTCTTTACGTCATTGGTTATGTGTTCACTTGGTAAAAAAAAGTCTTCAATAGATGATTGTTTGTCACATTTACACTGGCTGTATTGCAACTGACCCTCGAGAGCCATGGCAGTGTCTCAAATGTGGAATTTATCCGGCTTATGTATCCTACAGTGTTTACAATAAGAATTTCACAGAGTAATAAGATTGCACTTTGAATCTGTGAAAACATTTATTACAGTACACGGTTCGGAGCTGATTCAATAAACATAGCAAGTGTTTGAATATTGGTCCTCCTTCTGGGGTGTTTATAATTTAGCAGTATACCACATAAGTATTCAAAGATATTTGTTCACATAATTATAAAATCTTATTTCCCTTTCAGGAAACTTATTCATCAACCAATAAATACTCTTTATTCACAAATGCTTAAATTCTAGTTATTTGTATTAAAACATAGAAGAATAAATAAAAAAATACTTCTAAAAACAAAGATTTTGAATACTTAGTGTTTTGAGTAACAGCAAAGTTATTTAATAAAATTTTGAAAATAACTCTCTAAAAGGTTATGATGTGCACTTTAACCTGCCTGCAGCTAAAGGGTTAGCTGCCCACTTTATCGTGTGCCCGTATAGAGAACGAGACTAAAGACACTGCCCTTAATCTGGAATATCGAGGTGCCCGTTACTACAAGATTTATTTTGGTTATAAATAGTAGAAAAAAGAAAGAGACTGAAAAGGCCTGCCCTTAATGGCATGGTGCCCATTAACTCTACAAATATGGGATCCACCTAGCTCATAAGCACGAAAGTAACTATGAGAGTAATTGTACTATAATTTTTGATAATGTGTACCTATTTTTACAACAGTTGCAGATTATTAGTAAACATTACAAAGCTTTCATACACAAAATATCAGGTTTTTAAATTAAGTATTAAGATTTGCTCATGAATTTGTTTATTTCAGAATGTTGACTATCCAAAGTGCAAAGTAATTTTGATTTTAAGATTAAAAATAACTTTCTTTATCTGAAATTTATCAAGTTTCATTTGCATAATCTCTATATCCTTCTAGATAATCATCAAATGTTTTTTTGAATAAAACTTTATGTTTAATATATTATCTTATGAATGTTAACTCTATATGGTGTTGGTCGATTTGACTGACCTCGTAACCATCATAAAACTTGGGAAATAATCTAAATTACAACAGGAAACCACAGATGTTTATTCTAAGTAGCTTAAGTTATGTAACAGTATACATATATTTATATTTATTAATTTTTGTTTTATTGTTCTTTGAACTGTGTCTGGCTAAAAATACCCTGACACAAGTTGAAAATCATGTGGCGCACATGCAGCTCATGTTACCATATCGAATAGCATAACACAGAAGCTGCTGGCGCATATACCCCATGAAGATTTTTATTATTTTTCTTTCATTATCTTACCTAATAAGTTTCTATTTTTCTATTTTAGTTACTTTTATAATAGTAAATAGTGAAAACAAATAAAAAGTAAAAACTTCATAATTAAGTATCAAACATTTTTGTTTTCAGTACAGCTTTATATTTTATTTATTTTCTTTACTGTAAAATAATACTTGATTCTCCAGGTTGTAGGTAACTAATCAAAGTATAATGAAAATAAAGTTTGGAAATGCAAAATAAAATGTATAGTATTGTTAATACTGTTCACAAAATTTCATAAAATAGTAGTTCGATAAAACTTTGAATGTAAGTCTATAAATGTGATGACATGTCCTTTGATCCCTACCCATATAGATAGGTTTACTCGAGGTTCCACTGTATAAAGCACAAAAAATCTGTGTCTGTCTGTTTGTCCATTATCTAACTACTCCTAGGTCACTGAGCCAATTTCAAACAAACTTTGTGGGATCATAATTTGCAACGAGAAGCATGTTAATGGGGGTTCACAACCCCTCCACTCACCGTTACTGATGTTATTGAGCATTTACTATTTTTGACATAAGTTAACATTAACTACATTCATAGATGGCGCCACATTCTCATACCACACAAAAAACTTAAATTTTCCATAATGCAACACACACAGGATGGGGAGGAGGTCACATAAATGTCTCGTATATCTTAGAGAGTATGCTAGCACTCTTTATAGAGGAATGCAATGAAAAAAATGGCCACCACTACTGCAGTACTACATACATACATACTACAGAGCTGACGTTTCTACTCCAACAGCCACCATAAGGCTGATATGAAGAACTGTTTCTTGAGTTATACCCATTTCTTACTTTGGCCCCTGACCTTTCAATTTTCACCTGTAACACACTTCTTCAGCCAGTGACCATTAAATAATTAATCATGTGAAACACTGTGGAAGGACATTAAGACCTGGGTGTTGAAAGCAGGTAACAGAAAGCACCCCTACCGCTACTACTTTTGCCACTACCTTTTCCTACAAAGTCACCCTGACCATCACATAGTGTATACCATGTTTTAAGCATATACATATTGAATTCTTAAAGCTTATATAAAACTTTTGGTGAGGTAATAATAAATACCTTAATAATCTGTTATGTTATAAATAAATTATGTGAAAGTTAGGATTTTTGTGTTATTTATCCTAGCATCCACCCCCCACATGTTTTTTTAGGTTCATAATCTGGAAAAAGGACAGGTACATCAGCTTGTAATTTACATACATCAGTTCAAAGGCCTTCAAAGAACTCAGACAACAGCAGCAACCAGGGACACAGTAAGGTTACAGGTTTAGTACTGTGAAGTCTGGAACATTCTTTGAAGCTCCAAGTTCAAGTAGTGATAAAAAACAACAGGATAAGTATCAAATTCAATGTGCTAAATGAAGGAGCAAACAACTCACTTGTCACTAATATTGAATAAAATTAATACACTGTTACAAGACTCCAGATCGGTCTCATGAATGCAGTATAACATCTCACTGCTACCACAAAATATAAAAGATTATCAAGATTTGAATGATTACTGCTGATAAGCTTTGTAACACAAATGAAGAGCCCACTCTGACCTTTACAGGGGCATAGTCTTTGGTATAAAACATCTATCCAGGTACTGATACAGTGCTGTCCACAAAATAATTTTAGTTCATCAACAGCATGCACTTCACTGATGGGCAGAGGTAAGTAAGAGAAAAGTACATTTTCTAAGAGAGATACTTCAAGTCATGTGTCAGATCAAGTGCAAAATAAATTCTAAACAAGAAAGTTTCACACAAGTGTACAAGAGAACGTTTCCCACAAAATCAAAAGATAGCACAGGGCCACCTAGTAATCTTTCACCTCAATATATACAAAATGAAAGAAATAACATAATCATTGTGTTGATGGTACGACAGGGTCAATCTGGTGCTGTTTGCACTAACCTACATTAAGCTTTCACTTTGAATATCGATGATCTGGGTCTTTTTCAGAAAGACCTTTACAAAGCATGAACTAAATTAAAGACTGTAGCTGTAACATCTGCAAAAAATGAAGCCATGGCTGTGCTATCATGAAGTCCTGGTACAGTGTCAGACATATCCTGTAATAATGCAACTAGGATCCAGACTGGGAGATATACACAGATATTTAACAGACCACTCCTTGGTCACACAAATTTCAATTAGTTTATTATTTTTGGGAGTCATGAAACTAATTGATTAAGTTGAACAACCTTGAATTAATCAAAAATCATAATACAATATCTCAATTAGTTGGATAGTTGGAATAATCAAAAATATCAATAATCAGAAACACTTAATTTGAATTAGTTGATTATTTTGTGATACTAATCATTTCTTAATTACTTGTGATACAAGTAATTGATTATACTAATTAAATGAATTAATCACCCAGCTTTAAACCTAAATGTCTCACAATTGAGTAAGCTGAAATTGTACTTTGAGCCTTTCACTATACAATACAAACTTACATGGAAATTCAGGGCATTGAATGTTTACTAGATCTGGATACTAAACCATAAAAAACCAGTGAGAAACTCAGAATTAATTCAAAACCTTGGAAAGCATCAGCCCTTGTTTCCACTCAAAAAATATGTCAAGCATAAATCACAAAGATAAGTATGTCTGCAGCAAAGAAACTTCACATTATAAAACATCCCAGGTCAAATATCCAACAAACCTGATGACCAAGCAACCTGGGCTACAGACTGGGACAAAGCCCCAGAAGAAAAGCACTAAAAGAACAAGAGTAACTAACTGAAAGGTAACACTGCAATCCTGGAAAGAAAACTTTTGTGATAAGTGTTGTACAAAAGAAAAGGAAAATCTTGATGACACATACCACTCTTGAACTAATGATGACTAGAAAGATGAATATCTATAACCTGCTGACTGCAAATTTCAGGTGATGACAAAGCCTTGTCGAAACGTTGTACATTTGCTGTTATGTTAAACTTATATTAAAGTTTTTCTTCATTACCCATTCAAGCTGTCTGTGATGACAGACTCACCTCTGAGATAATCAGGAATGAAGAATACAATGGGGGAGGGTAGATGGATTAGAAGGTAGAGAAATGAAAGAAAGGTTTAAGTCTTGGTAAAATTAAAAGTCAATGTTAATTTTTTCTTAGTTCTTGTTCTATATATCCTGTGACTTTATGCAAAAGTACCAATGCTTTGCTGAAATATAAATATTTATATTTGCCTAAAATGTAACAAATGGATACGATAGAAAACTTCAATCAACTGGAACAATGGTCTTGCGTTTAGATAAATCTCCATTAGATAAAAGCTAACTAGCTAGGCCAAGGAGATCCTATATATTTGGAAAATTTAGTTTTCAATTCAACATACATGTAGAGTGTAGTCTGTTATCTAATGTGACAAAATACTTTTCACTTTACAACAGCAATATTGTTTAGCATTTCTTTACCTTTACGTGTACAGGAGGTTCTTCAAACGTAAGCAACATGTATCTGTCTCCCCTGCTGGCTGAGTCTCTCTGTCTTATCTGAAAGAAATATTTAAACTAATAATTATTAAAATATTATTTTTTTAATATCATGGTTCACATTAAACACTTGCCATTTGCGATTAGTTTGTAATATTGACATAAGCAAAATATTTTCATTTTGCCTTTGTGGCTAATGGAAAAAACAATGATGAAATCAAAAGAATGGAAATTGAACATTTACAAATAATTTTCACACATTGTACAGTAGTTATATCATAATTCCTGTGTGCAACCATAGGTCATGTCAAGATCAACATCATGCTACACAAATTATGAATAACAAACAATAATAAAGCTTTAGTGTGTATGAATCCAGTATTGTGTAATAGACATTAGGATACCTAAAACATCATCAAACAATATTTTGAAATATAATCCATCAAACACAATACTGTACAATTCTGCCAGTCAAGTTTCTTTGTCACATTTGGGGTGGAAAACTATGTAGATAAACATGTATTTGCAAACCTTGTAATTAAACCATCTGAGCAGTGATGAATAAAAGCCAGTTGTGTTTATGGCCCTTTCTTTGGCAGATGCATTATTACTGATTATTTGAAAAACATGATTATACTTTACTGCACAATTAGTTCTGAAATTTGCACTATCATAGCAACTGTATATATGCACAACTAACATGCAAAAATTAAATTTTTACTTCCTTGTTCTACCCATGTTATGTGATATGTAACTGTTGGCCAATGAATTCAAAGACTTGGCTACTGCTGATTTTCTGTCAAAAGTAAAGATCTCATGAGAAAATTCTGAACTCAAACTTCAGAAGCAATAAAATGCTTAAATAGAAATTTGTTTGTCCAATGTTTCAATAGATTATTTTTGTTGGCATTCGTTTGGTAAACTCTCAAATGGGTTAGAGCTATGTTTCTGTTAGTTAAGTAAAATATACTACAGAAATGAGGGAGGTGCAACTTCTCAAGGATGATCTTAGTACTATTTTACTTTTGTTCTGATCTGATACACAACCAGTCAATACCCACTTTCACTAATGCTAACACTCAATGCACAGATATGTTCTGACATTTCATCTTTATATTTGAAAACTATATGAGAACAAAAGATTTTGAAAATATGGGCTAGGCTAAAGTTAAGATAGTTTTATTTTTTTAACAGGGTGAATGACTTATGGAATGAGTTGCCATTGGCAGTAGTGGAGGCTAGAACTTTATAGGAGTTTAAAGGAAATCAATGATTTCCTGAAAAGTAAGGGTGGATTTACATTTTTACTTTTTCAAGGTTGGGTGTTCATGAACAGCATTGAAGAACCAAATGGTTCCTTGTTTCTGGAAATTATGTTAAAAAACAAAGAGCAGTTATTGAAATCAAACACAAATTACTACTGTGAAGTATGTAGGAGTTATTACAAGCTTGTTTGTTGGATGCTTACAAAAGAATTAATAAAGGTACAAATAACAAAATTAAGCATGCATAGTTTAAATCTGTATAATTTTCAGATGAATCTCTGTACAATACAAGATATGGGGAGTGTCATTTTTCTGTTTGTTTCTTAAAAATTCACCTTTTATTTAAGTTTACAATAAATCATAGTGATGACTGACAATTTAACTTGGCACATAAAATATCTGTTTTAGGAACCATAGAGCTTTTGTACTGATGATTATGTATATCATCTTGAGCAAAAATAACCAACAGAACTTATGATTATTAGATCAATGATTTTCAATACTGAAGGTGAGATACGATACATTTTGGTAATGACACATACAAAATATACTTCAGCTTTATGAAGATGATACACAATAAATGCATTTCTAAGCAACAAACATGTCATAGTGAGCTACATGATTATGATTATAAAGCTAATATACAGTAAATGCAAGTCAAACAACTAACTTGTCAATGTGAACTACAGCAATGGTTAACTTTAAGTGACACATTCATAAATTAAACCTAAATTCCTTTTTACCTTAAACAGTTCCCAATTCATCAACAAACCACCATTTAAGGTCACCTTGGACATGGACTGGTAAATATTAGCATGATAAGATGAAAAATGTTATTGTTTAGAGCCAGTTATTTCTTAGATTTCAAGCTTTATTCTGATTCATTAACCTGTAAAATTAATTGTCATTGTCAACAAATAATTATGCTGGCTGAAGAAACTGGTGTAACTGAATTACCTGTGATGACACCATTCAAAACTAAATTTAAATATTTCTAGCTGCACATATGTTCCATAGATGTGTATACACATCTTTTAGATGGTGACTGAAAACTAACGTGTAAAAATTATCATTACTTGAAATGACAGGCAGAATTAATATTTATTCTACTAAACATCTTGTGATACAAATATTTTATTTTAAAATTACTTACCAGTGCTTTAGATTAATTAACAAGAAAACTGTACTTGCTAAATCATCAGATGACACAATTTCACTAGGAAGAGTATGTCACACAAACCATTTTATGAACTATTAGCTTTTCTATGACAATCACTAATTATACAATTAGCCAGGAATTTCTATTACTCAAAAAGGTTAATGCAATTTAGCACACTCTTAGTTTGCTCAGGTTTTTAAAAATATACAGTTTGGTATCTGGATTTAAGGAAGACACTCTTTATTGTACCCCCGTTGTAAGAAAAAATGATACTTGAAACAGCAGATCAGTGAAGTTATTAGCTAAGATTCAAAGAGCTTCTGAGGGAATTAAGGACACATACCACCAAGTTGATCTTTTGAAAAATTTTCTATTACATAAGGAATACATAGGAAGTTCAAAGCAGAATTCTATGAGGCTTAAATAAACAACTAGAATGATGAATATATGTAAACAGGTAACTTTATAGGACAGGATGAACTGTCTGGCACGATGGGCTGCACTAGCACAGGCTGTTAGCAGTTATGAAGAAACTTTAAAAATCTTGTTGTGGACTGTTAAACAAAAACTCAACAGGCAGTGCAGGAAGCATTATGCCAAGTGATTTATTTCTTGGTTCTCAGTACACATAATTATGACAATAATAAGTTGCATAACTTTTCTGATAAATTTTCGAAAAGGACAAACTTTGTTTCTTTTACTCAAATGCAAGAAGCATTTGTAATAAAATGTCAGAACACGAGATTGTACGCTGTTGGCATGCTACACATCACATGTTAAATTATTATAATGGCATGGCTTTTAAGAAAATCAAATCTTCTAGAATCATAAAAATAAGATGTTCAAATGCATTTATTTTTAGAAAATAAATAAATGGTTATGAAAGATATGGTTCTGATTGGGTTAAGGTGTCTATAGAAAAATAAAATGTTTGATAACATTTTCCAAAGGTCTTCTGACACACATATATATATATAGTTACACTGCTAATAGAAACAAGCTTATTCATTAGAGAGACTTTAAATGAACTGATCATGACAATTTTTTTAGCACATGAAACTGTGATGAAATAATTTCTCACTCAGGGTGTCAGACATTTAATTTGGGGAAAAAAACTTTATTTCAGACTTTTGAAAGTGTGAAAGATATGGTTAGCACTACTGTCATACATGTACATTTAGATGCTAGTGATTGCATTATCACATCCGACATTTTGTATGAAGATCAAATTTTACAGTAAACAAGTCTCAATTGTCCAATTTTAGATGAGCCTACTTTAACAAGTTACAAATGGGAAAAGGGTAAAATAAATTGGGAAAATTCATATTATTTTAGTTAAATATGCAAAAAATGGACTGTGTTCCCTTTAAAATTTTGCATTCTAACTAAAAGCTTATTTGTAAATGGATGGATAATAAGAGTTATTAATAAATGATAAATGTTAAGCTTTCAAGAATATGAAACTTAACAAAAAACAAACAAAACAAAAACAGTTGTAGTAGTGAAAAAAAGCTACTATTGAGATTCAAAGGACCTACCAAAGCCTTTTTTGTTTAAAACACTAAATAAGGCATTTTTTTATGCTTTCATGTGTGGTATATTTAGGTAACCAGCCATTATTAGGTAACATTAGTTTACCTTAGAGTAATTGGATAGGTCTACTTAATACCAGGAGGTTCAATAAGATACTTATTATGAAGTAGTACAGAATCTCCGAATAACTGAGTTTGTAAGAATGAAATAAAGAAACGGGACACATTGTAAAATACAAGAAAAAAACCTTTATTAATTCACAAGCACAGTGTGTGTGTGCTTGCTTTATGGACACAAGACGGTCACTTCTGCTGGATTAAGTAACTTCCTTTCTAAACTGATCAAGCTGACATCATCTACCAGACTGTTTCATTTCAAAATTCTTTATTTTGTGGGCATAGTAGGATTTATCCATAATGTCCAGCACTACCCACATGACTGGTCATTCCCATTGGAGCACAGGGGAAGCCATAACCTGAATATCATCTCAACTACCATTGATGGATGCTAGCTGTTAACCTTCTTGTAAAATGTCTAACATTACAGTGATGTAAAAAAAGGACAGGAAAGGTGTGACCTCAAAAGAATGACAAGGAACAAAGTTAGAACAACATCATTTAATGACTTTCTTCACCATGTGTTATGTGATGCTGTATATACACAGAAAGATAAATTTGGACTACTATACTAAAATAAAAAGGCAGAAATACAAGGTATATTTATATACATGTATACATATTCAGACTTTCAGACATTTTAATAATAACTTTATTGTGGATAAACATTAACATGGTTAACGCTTACAAGCAAAATTATTTTATTGAAGGAGAACATTTGAATTCTAAACCATACAATTTGTTAAAAGGTGGGAAAGAACTTAAATTTAAACTTATTTTATAAGAGAAAATTGTTTTGGCAAAATTTAGGAAAATTATGAGCATAACATTTTTAGAGTTAAAATGAATAACTCAATTTATCATGTTTATATTGTTACCGCAGCCATCTTCACTATCATGGCACAATTAAGTCTTATTATATATCACTCCTCACCTCTATTATCTGCCATAATATACTGATAATCAGACATGAAAATCTTATTGAACACAAGGCTATATTTCATTCAATAACTTTTTGGGGAGCTTTTACACACGTTTAGAACATGACAAGCTTTCTCTCATCTTCCAGTTGACCATTCCCACCAAGACCAAAACTTGGAAGTAAGAGGAAGTATATGTTAAGAAAGAATACATATATTGAAATATAAGTGTATCAAAGACATCAAAATGCAATATTCTTCTTCTACAGGAAATACTAAATGACTGAAAGCTCAAATTGTAATATAGATTACAAAGGATAAAGTACTCGGATGTTCCAAGAGCATGTTAAAAAACAAAAGACTACCACAAGCCAAACTAGTGTCATATGGAAACAGAATTTATATCTTTTTAAATTTCCACATGCCTTCAAAAACAGTTTATTTTGAACAAAATTTTATTTGCCTAAGGATTCTACTTGTAACCTAACAAGTCCCTAAGCTTCTATCCCAGTTAGTGGTCTGGTAAAATTCTATTAAATTAGACCCTACTGGTCTGTTGAAATAGTGGCATGAAAAGTTAGAAATACAAACTTGAATATTTCGAGTAAGAGTAAAGTTTTAGAAGACATGATTCAGATTTTTCTTTGAAAAAATATTTTTGTGTAACAATTCGCCTGATGATAGATCGTGTATGTGCTGTTAATTATTATAATCATATTTTTTTCATATGTGAAAGACTACATTTAGTTTGGTTAATTGTTAAAGTAGTTAAAGAATGACCTCACTGACCTTTTATCACCTTGTTTCTTTTTTCTATTATTTAAAAATGTAAACTCCACTCCATCTTATTACAAAAATACCTGCCAACTTAAAGAGTAAATATGTTGGTACATGAAAAACCATCAAGCTATAAACAACTGATGAATGATGCCAAGACTAGTTCACATAACTTTTGAACAAAAGCAATGCTATAACAGATATTCTTATTCAGACTGGAAAAAGATACTTGAGCAAAAGACAACATTCAATCAAAATAGCAGAATCCATGAAAAAAGGTAGAAAAAAAGAAAACGGGACTACATGGACTAAAGAAAGACTCATCTTATCAAGAAATTTCCAAATTATCAAATGGGCAGTTTATAATCCAGAGACAGATGAAACAGCAGTATAATACATGAAATATTTGTCACTGTTTACATATCAAATGAAGAATTTCTTACAAGGAATAATGTACTACAGCTATCATGAACAGAGTAGTTAGAATTGATGGACTGTGCTAAAGGGCTTCCTTTATAAGATATCACAAACAAACCCTTCAAAACTGATAATAAATAAATTTGTAAAGTGATGAGACAAATAGCTTTAATAGAATGGAATAAGCAATATCGATAAATGTACAAATATTATAAAACAAAACAAAAACATTCAGAACCAGGTCAGATTGATATTAATCAGATGACAACAAAAACATGAAATGGACTGGCCACTTTATATCAGGCTGAACTACATTCTGCTATAATATTAACACGAAGTTCTCAAGATGCTAGAAAATATCTTGTTTCAATGCAGTCCATTCATCAAAGAGAATTAATTCACAGATGTCAGCAGAAGATTGTGGCAAATGAAGTTTTATGGTTCATCCCAAAGATGTTTAATTGTTGCTTTGGATTCTGTGATTGATCTAGTCAAGAAAGATGGCTGAAGATGCTGTCATGTTCTCTGAACTCATCTTGGACAGTATGGAAATAATGGATTGTCACACTACAATCTTGAAAGGGCCCTCATTATAAGAGTGACGATGTAAAAATGTGCAGTGGACATGATAGGCAATATTATTTGACACACTTTTGATGTTATTTGCCATACTAAAAAAATCAGAGAACTCAAAACCTACCATAAAATAATTCCACACTACTACATCAATTCCAGCAACTTACTCTGTTAGAACAACATAAGAAGAATCAATTAGCCTCATGTAGTTTTTTCATATTTTAATTTATTGTTAATACAAAAATGAATGGAAGGTGATTTACCACATCAGATCACAAGCTTAGACATTCACTGCCCACATTTTATTCTCTGAGCACCAGTGAAGATGAGTATTCCTGCTTTCATCTGAAATAAGTGGTTTTGTTGGCAGCCACATGACAGTTTTGTAAAATTTCTCACATATCATGGTTGGTGGTGGTGGTGGGTGGGGGGGGGTTAACTTTAGACCACTGTTGAAGTAATTAGTCAATTGGGGTACAGTCTGAGCTCTATTACAGTTTACAAGCTTGTCCAACTTTTTGCTCACTTTGTCAACAATGGTTAGAAACTACAGTATTTTCTCTAATGGACTCTGATAATAAATTTTTTCTTTCTTTAGAAAAGTAATTATAAAAAGTATGTTTGATAATGATGCTCCTTCTAAATTGATACTCACTACTGTGATCCTTAGAAAGTCAGTGAGATCCTTATTCTTACCCACTGTCTTGCACTTACAGTGCTCAAGTAAATACCTGCAACATTACATGATCAGTCATCTTTGAATATTTAAACAAATGGGAGTGTTGTGCAAATGTGTGTAGGTGTTCTAATGAATTGGTCAGTAAGCATAGGTCTTAGTGGATAAACAAAAATTTAGGTCAAATGATCAAATAAGTAAAAATCTAAGCCTCTTAAAACCACACCAAAATCTCAAACAGCAAGACACAGATGAAGTACATTCAAAGAAATGAAGTCATTAAGAACCAAAGAATTGAGTGCTAAAGGCATAACCAAATCTAGAATTGACTTTGATGTTATTAATGGGGAAATAATTGCCCAAAACATAAAAAACTTTCTTTAGTTTCATGTCATTCATAAATTGTTGTTTGCCCTCTAGTAAAGTATGTAAATAAAACATGTTTTCCATATATGGTAAGAAATATCAAGTAATCTTGACTATCATGTGCATTGCCTAAATTGCTACATTTTACATGTCTCTAACAAATACATTTACCCATCCCTCTACTACAATTCTTTTTCAGAACAGTCACTCAAGAGCAAACAAAAATATTTTAATTTAGGTATCACCTGAACAGGACATATCTGAGTATGAGATCAAGATTATCAAAGCACCCAAACTAAAACTACTTACATGTAGTTCTTTACAACCATATACAATATATCTAGTTTAAAACAGCAAACACCATAATATCAACTAAACCATTCCACACATTTATAACTTAATACAGATCATTCAGCTAAAGAACAAGGATGAACCTCTACTTGAGAGCTTTAATTAACTACTCTTGAAATTCAAGTTTGTATTTCCAAAATTTTTATTCCACAACAGACAGGTTAGAAACAGACAGATTATAAAAGCCTCTAACAATTGTAAACACCTAAAACAAGTCACCTCTAGTTCTTCTATGTTCCAGAGGAAACATGTCCAAATCTTTGGGCTTCTCTTTTGTAGTTCAAATTTCTTAAACCAGGTATCATTCTGGTAGTCTGTCAGCATCTTTCCAGTGTGTTGATATCCTCCTTGTAGCAAGGAGACCAAATTGAAAACATTATTCGAAATGTGGTCTTTTCCAGTTTATAAAAACCTTTTACACTAAAATTAAAAGTTTATTCAGAACCCTTTCACTTTTTTTTCCACAGCTAAATGATCCGCACATTTGTCACCACCCATTCAGTTTTTAACCACCCATATAATATTTTGTTCACTTCTCTTTTCTTTATCATTTTATAAACAACTATAATTCCTAAATTATCCACTTGTGCAAAACCATATCAAAAGCTACTTGAAATTCGAGGTAAACAACAACAATCAAACCTTATCCAAAAAAAAATAGAAGCTCCAGCAAAATCTTCTAAAAAGTTGGTTAGACAAGAAAACCCCCCTTTTTAAAACAATGTTGTGTTTCAATTTATTAAATGTTATATTTTAAATGCCCTGCTTCCAACAGAAGAAGCTAATATAGTTCTAAAATTTCCTGAGTTCCTTCTTGACCCCCTTTTTAAACAGATTATTTCTCCACTGTTAAAAAGTTTTTGAAAAACAAAAGTTAATGCCCAACCATAGTCTTAAGAAACTGCTTCAATTGGTTTATGATAAATTTCATCAGGCCCAGAAGCACTACTCTCAAGCTTACCAAAACTAATTTCTTCAACAAAAACAATGTAAAGTAAGTTTCTTTCCACCTTTAAAGAAATTGGCCAGTTTAAGAATTTCTTCTTCATGTATAAAAAATGCAATAAAAAAAGTTACCAACATTAGCTGTGTTCCTTTCTTCCAAGGTTCCCATAGATATAATGTCTTTTTTTCTGTAGTTTATGTATAAGCATAAATTTCAAGGTTCGAGCTAAAAGTTTGTAGTCCCTCTTTGCTAGAACAATATCTTTCTCAACATCTTATTTTAATAAACCGTAACATTTGCCATTTTACTAATGAACATCATATTCTTATAAAAATAGTATTTTTACTTTCATTAATACTGTCCTTTGAACCTTTGGAAATACAGTCCCAATTTACTTGACATTTAAAGGAGTGTTTTAAATTCTATTACCTATTCATTACAACTGGTGAATTTTGAAAAGTTGAATGTCTGAAAGTTAACATTTTCCTACACTGTAAATGCATTTTCAATAGATTCTTACCTTTGATCACGCAATGGCCTTTCTCGTCTTGTGCTGCCTTCTACTTGCACAATTTTTGCTCACCACTAGCTTTGATGCTTCCGCCTATCCTCAAATGATTTTACATGGTATAGCTACACTGTAGTGTACAAATTAGCATGCAACAACCCTTTTAGCACAGCTGACTCCCTCTATATTGTAGAGCACTCTCATCACTTCAAGATTAGGCAAAAAGATGCACTGGAAGTGGAGAGTATAGGTGGGAAGTGTGAAAAGAGGTAAGTATCTATTGGAACTACATTTTCAGTGCAGGAAAATGTTACCTTATGATACAATACCTTTCATCTACTCACATAATAGCTAGAATCCTACATTGATTCCCACAGTGCAAAAGTTACCTGGATGAGCACTCTTTGGAAGGTGCCCAAAGAGAACTCATGTAGTGTGACACCCTAATGTATTGGGTCACACTTGAGGGAGACTGAACTCCATCTGTACCAGGTATACTATTCGCCTATTGTCAAGATACGTGGAAAAGATGCATGTCCAAGCCGTAATTGGACATGCCAGATGGTGTAGAGTGGCTAGTGTGTATTAACTTCAGTCCAAAACCAGATGGCAACAGGTATTTGTCTTCTGGTTTGCAGTAAGAGAATGGTCCCAACCGTCTTCATTTCAAAACCTAGAAGTAGAAGGCAAAAATAACTTCTGTTCCCATGATACAGCCAGGTCAGATTTGTGCAGACCTAGTACACAACCAACACCAGGCCACTTGGGAACTTGACACCTGAATAACAGTAGGAAAAGTGAATGCAAACATGGTGGGTCAACACCAGTCCAAAACTAAATGGCATTGGGAATTTTTTGTCCATTTTGGGGTAGGAGGAAGGTCCCTACCAACTACATGTGTGAGGACTTATATTGGCTTATCCTCTAGCAATCCAACACCAAGCCATTCAGGAACCAATATCCAGGGAATGGTAGGATGGGGGAAAACTAGTTGGAGGGATGAACTGTATGTGGTGGATTTATCCAGTTGAAGAACAGGCAGCATCAGGTATTTATCTTCAGGTGTGTGGTAGGAGAAGAGTACTCACCATCTATATCAATAGAACACCACCACCCTACTCTCGACTGAAAGGAATTGGTTAAACTCAGTAGGAAGCTTCTGTAGTCCACGACCACAGCAGCTAGGAACTGGTTAGTGGCAAGGACTCCCATAATCCACTGGGAAAGGGGGTTAACAATGCAATTGGGAGTCCATATAACAATGCAGCACTGGAAGACAGTGCAATGGGTGACCATGAAAACCCTGTTTTAAAGGGTCCTGGTATATTCAACTAAGACTGGAAGAATGGGCAGTGATCCTAACACTGCTTTACTTATGATAGTCCATGAGTTGGTATGACTGATACAGCATTATTTATGAAGCAAAATACTGTGAGAAAACCTTCAGCAGTTTTGTGGAACACCCCATCTCTTCAGTGAGCATTATAAACCTGGACAGCTTTATGGTGTAGATTTACATTTAAGTATACCTGGAAAGGCATCACTTGCCACAGAGCGGGTTCTACGTTAGGAGAAAGGGCCACTGTAAAGGAAGAAATAAAAAAAAGCAATAACTTACTCTGTCAAGAGTCAAAATGAGGTATGGAGAATGGTAACAGGTTGCAAGACATAGACAGATGAGGAGTAGGCAGTCAAATGATGCAGTTAATGGGAAATAAGAGTGTAAATTTTAGATCACATCAGCCTTCACTATCTCTTCCAATGGATGACAGAAGTGGGCAGCCAGGGAAAGGGTGAGATGACAGATCTGGTGGGAGGAACATGGAAAATTCAACAAGAATCCTCAGATAATGAAGCATGAGTGAGAATAATTCATTCTGTAAGGGTGACAGGAGAAAGATCATGGGTAGAGGAGGAATCCTAGGGTACAAAAAGATGGGAACAAGAACCATGGAGGGAAGCTATGCAAGCAACATGACAACACAGAGCCCTTACCAGATAAGAATGATGATACAGATTAGGCTTGGAATACTACTGAGAGATGGAGGGGAAGGAAATAGGAGTAAAGGTGATGTTCCTTTCACACGCTGCTGATGTCTTTGGAAAAAACTACGATCTGGATAAAGGAGGACATAGGTATGGTGATAAAGAAAATGGGACACATCAATACCAAGGAGACAAGATCTACGATGTCCACACATGAAAAAGAGTAAGAAATGCATCTTGAGGGAGAGGTGATACAAAGAGCAAGAGGTCAAAGATTCAAAGCAAGAAAGGGTAAGGGCATGTAGGACAACACTGAGATTCCAATCTGGTAAGGGAACTGGGTGGGGTGGACAGATAAAGAAAAAGGAGCAAAACAGGAGGGAGAGGACAGGAGAGGATAAAATATGATGAAAGGGTATTGGACATGGTCGCTTTATAGCCCACAATGGTAGAAACAGATAAACCAATGTCAAAAAGTCAAGTAAGAAATCAGAGAGGTGGGGAACACTTGGTTTGGAAGATGAGAGGCCATGGTGCAAAGACCAATGACAGAAAATGTCCCATGTATGCTGGTAGAACATCAAAGAAGAGGAGACTGAGCAAGAAAGAAGGAAGGCAACCTATGTAGAGAGTCTGAATCATCTTGCAAAGGATTGGACAAGACCTATGCATGAAGACAGTGTAGTTACAGTGAGATGAAATACAGGACTGATATTACTCGAGAAGAGATCAGGAAAGTGGAAAAGGTATGAGATGAGATGATTGAATGAGGTTCAACACTGGAAACCATGGTTTTGCAGGCCAGAATGGGGAGATGAGAAGGATCCAACATGGAGTGGTTTGTATAAGAGAGGGCACACAGGGAAGAAGACAGATGGGAGAATAAGCATACAGGTAAAGATTGGTAGAATCCTAACTGAAGGATCCACCACTAAAGCCAAAGGATGCAAAACTGGAGACCAAAAGAGGGAAAGTTTTGCAATGAGCTGGGAGCATAACCACTGGAATACTTGAGGAGCAAGAGACCATTCCATCGGCAAAATTTTGTCAAGACGGGATGGTCAATCTGCCACAAGATTCAGAGCACCTAGGATGTGAAAAGCAAGAAGACAGTCCTGCTGAAATTGGGTCAAGAAAAGAAGATCCAGTTTTCGATAGCCAAGTGACTGTGGTTTGATGCCTCCTTGAAGACTGATGTAAGAGATAACAGTTGAATTGTCCAAATGGATCATGACCAGGTGGTCCCGTACATCTAGGAGTTCCAAAAGGTTAATGTGTAGAGAAGATTCGACCATCAACCATCTCCTAAAAATCCAAAAACACTCCCCATCCTGTAAGATGTAAAGAGATGCAAATCAGGATGGGGAGGAGGTAGAGGAACGCTTGTTGAGGTGTCTCTGTCAAGTCACCAGGCAAAGTTGACTTGTAGGGAGGAAGATGGCAGAATCCAAGGAATCCTGAATGAGATTCAATTGATTGTGCAGTATCCAGCGAAGGTAACATATGTATATAACTCAAAGGGCCAAAGGATTCCATGGAAAACCAGGTGTCCAAAAGAGAGAGAGCCTCATATGGAAGAAGAGAAGACTTAGCTTTGGAAAATAAGAACTCCACTACCCTCAAATAAAGAGAAGGCTAGGTCCTGCTGAGGTAGGTGTTGAAACACACTCCCAGATGAATAAGAAACTGTGGGGGGGGGGGGGCAAGATAAGACTTTTCCAGTTTGACAAACCATGAGTCGCCTCCTATAGGAGGAAATTGTTATGGTTGTAAAAGGCTTGTTGGGAAGAAGCTAAAAGGAGCCAGTCATCCATATAATGGTGAAACCGCATACCTTAAATGTGACTATGGCAGGCAAAGGCTCTGACCATGTGACAGAAGACACATGCCAACGATGCCAGAGAAAAGGGTAGAGTGCTGAACTGAAACACTGGCCCCATGAACAAACCAAAGGTAATGACTGGATACTGGAGAAATTGTGATATGAATGTACGCATCCAAGACATCGACCTTGGTTATTCATAGATTTGGAGATAACAATCCTCATAGGGCAAATAAAGGCTTCATGGTGAACCATGGGAGGTCAAGAGGAACTGGTTGAGGTTGGAGAGATTGATAACAGGAAGCCAATCCCTGGTCTTCTTGGGAACAATGAATAGCCAGGAATAAAAACTTGGAGAAGGGTGAAATACTTGTTCTATAGTGTCCTTGTTCAAGATATCTTGAACTTCCTCAGAGAGAGAGGCTGGCATGAAAGTGGATCCAGAGCAGGGGGAAAGAAATGAGACATGGGGATAAAGGAGGAGGAGCAGAAAACAAAGATGTGGTCCATCTATTAGAACTAGAATAACCTAATTGTCTATGGTGGAAGGGCACCACAGATGTGCAAACCTGGCCAACTGTACACTGATGGGATAGTCACCAATGAAACTGGCATCAGAAAATATGACTATGGACAATTTGATAACTTGCCACAGAAACCTGGGAAGGTTGCACTGGTAGAGGGTGAGACATAGGAACAGGAGCAGAAGAGGATTGGGAAAGACAAGAAACAAGGGAGGAATGTTAATACACAGCCTCCACCCAAGACTTTAAAGTATCAGGAATATCTCCAAATATATACTGGTGCAAGAAAGGAGCCAGACAGGAGATAATGTAACTAGGAAGCAGACAGATGAATGTGTGACAAGAGGACATCCTGCCAAGGAGATCCCAACAACAAATGAGCCATGTATGAAAGCTGAGGAAGTGCACCAATGTACAAAAAAGAAGGGTACTTGTATCTGCCAAAACCCTAACAAGAGGAATGGTAGATAGCTACAGAAAGGAGGTAAATGGAAGAGAGATAATTGAGGATGGTAGTGAGGGTGAGACGGTGATGAGAGAAATGGGCTGGGAAAAATCATAGAGTAGTAGCAGGATTGGAGTCCCATGCCTGAATTAGAGATTCTAAGGTATGAGAATCTAAATACAGAAATTCTAACCTATGACATGACAAAGCATTGGATCAGTCAAATGTGGGAGCCAAGGTATACCTGCACCTGAATGTAATTGGGTAATAAACAGTTCAGCATGAGGGGGGAGAACTAAATAATGTAAGACACAGGAAGGAGACAAGAGGTAACAGATCTGAGAAATCATTGTCCAAAAATGCAGACGAAGAATGAAGTAGATTAAGATGGATAGAATAGGAAGGCACAGTAAAGGCATGAGGTGGAAAAAGGCTATCCAAATCTTCCTCTTTAGGAATAGATTCTGCAGGAATAGGAAGATTGAACTATGGTTCTGGAGATGTACCTGGCTACACGATAGACTCTCACCTGAGACCTCCTCCAATGAAAGTGTGGAACCCGAACCCACAGAAATAGTAACTGTTGTTGGATCAGTAGTGGCAGAATTCATAACAGAAGCTATTGTAGTGATACAAAATTGAGAGTTCATTATGTGGCAATAAAAGAAAAGAAGTTTTCCATAAAACTTTTTAGCCAAAAAAAAAAAAGAGACAACAAACTCAAATTGTCAGTACAGTAGTATTTAGTGAAATTACACAGGACAATACACACACAAAAAAATCCAAGCATGATTGCACACTGGAATGCCAAACTGAGAAGTGATGAGAGTGCTCTACAGTATAGAGGGAGTCGGCTGCACTAGGAGGGTGTGTTGCACTCCTATTGGAGGGTTGTCACATGCTCATTTGCTTGCTACAGAGAAGCTATATCATGTGAGGACAGGTGTGGGTAATAAGGCTGGTGTCAAGGAAAAATTGCACAAATAGAGGGCAGCACTAGTCAAGAAAATCTTTTATGTGAGAGGAGATAAGGTATCATATTAAAAATACAAATTTTAGTTGCTTTTCCATTTGCAACCAATTTAAAATTATTAAAAACAAATTCTGTGACCTAATACATTCAAATTTATTATACACGAAGACTACCAGACTTATTCACTGATCATTCACTTTTGTGATAAACCAGTCACTTATTACAAACTACTACATAAAAGGGCAATTATTTTCTTACTAAAATTTAACAAGCACGTAACAAGAACTACAACTAACCATATTAGACTACTATAATCTTGTTATTCCTTAAATATTACAGAACACACCATTTACATGCAATTTTAGTCATGTGTAAGAGCATAACATAAAGAACTGTCTATAAGGATTCTGATATTAATATACTGTAAAATTAATTATGTTTTTAATTATGGGATTACAGAAATACCTTATCATACATCAATGACAAAACCCGATTCTAAAATTGTTGTTTTCTTCTACATTTTACCTAAAACTTTCAATCCAGATATGCAAATTGACTTTCTAGCTAAAATCAAAACTAATAAACTCTTTTATGAAAAGTACATTTAACTTGGGCTCTCAACTTACTGTGTACTGATTTCATATTGTAATTGTTTTTTATTCTACTATAACTTCGTAATTAACACTTAATGCCATATCACTTGTATACACATACATAAATACACACCACTTTTCCAAACAATAATTCTGTAATATAATGAATTATGATCATCACACATTTCATATTTACAAATTCAGAGTTGTTTGTATATCACAAATGTCATTTGAGTACATAATAGGAATAAGAACAAACCTTGAAAAACACAAAATATTAGGAATTAAGTTTAATTTAGTGATTGCTAACTAATCATGCTATAAGTTAAAGAGATGCCAATATCTGAACCATAAACTTTGGACAGACCACTCACATGGTTTGATCAGACAGTACAGAGCAATCACCAAAACATTACGTATGCTATTGTTGTTTAATTTTGATAAGGTAAATTAAAATATTGTAATTAACGTGCATTTATGATTTTCCACAGTAATTCCTGCACACATATACACGCACACCTCTGTTCCAGTGTTGCCAAGTCCAATTATAATAAGCAGAATTGGGCTTGTTTTTGTTTTTTTAAGTCACTTTAATTTTTTAAGAGTCACAGTTTTATCTTGAGGTTGCTTATTTGGTTATAGGAGTGGTTTCAGTGATTGACTGGGTAAATGAATAGCCTACACATCATTACAATCATCCTCTCTCCATTTCTGTTCAATCAAAAATATTCCAATTAAGCCTCACAACTTTCCATTTTGAGGGTAAGCCATAAAAAGAGCAGTATTGATAGTCAGTGCTGCTTATTTTCTTGCGAGACTAGGCAATACTGCTTTGCTCGTATGGTTGAGAGCCCTTTGTCTTGGTTAAATAAAACATTTTTTTAATGGAGATTTAACAATTGCTTCAGCAATACTGCCTCCAGTTTTTTGTTTTTTTGTGTGTGTTGTCTCTACCTTCATGAGATACCTTAAAATCTAACTTTATTTCATTTTGTAATTATTAGAAGCTCCATGTAATTAACTTCTGTTCACTCTGTTACCACATACATTTATTTCTTAAGAGTTCAAAGTGTATCTGGATCACTTTTCATTATTAATGTGGATTTGTGCAATAAAAATCTTCACAGTAAATGCTTTTCTAGAAATGGAAGAAATGTTATACTCTGTTTTAGTATAAGTAAATAATGTTTGAAGAACTTATGAAATGGTTTTCTCTTCAAAGGTATTTTTTAATATATTTTTATACATCTATAAAAAAAAAGGCAATTTAAGAAAATGTTTAATAGAATATATTAGAAACCAAAGAGTATGTTTCTGAAATTTCCAACTTTAAGTGTACAAATATTAATAAAAATCATACTTTTTTTTTGTATATACATCATACTGTTGTACTTTCAGGATTCATGTTGTAATCAGTATGATCACATCATACTGGTTGGAATTCCTGTAATTATGACAGAAAATTTAGTTTTGCTAGTCTTTCACAACAACAAAATAAATGGACTTCGGAACTGTCATAAATTATCATAGTTATATATCTGAATATTAAAAGCTCCTATATTTGAGATAGAACCCGTGGCACATGAAAATTGTTTGGTACATTACTAAACAGTAAAATTTGGTTAAATTACAACAGCTATATTAAAAATGAATGCGTTTAGAAGTTTAGTAAGCTCAATTCTCTTGAAGAGAAACTTCTTTAATTGTATTACACAATTTCTATTTGCGAGATCATTCAACAAGTTTAATCATGCAACAGTTTAAACAGATCTTTTCACACCAAGTGATTTTCAGAGTTCATTTACATTATTTCACGTTTATCAGTTATTAATCTGCAACTGCACAAAGATTTCATGCACCATGCAGAAATAAAAGTGGCAATTGTCAATAATGTTCTATTAAGTACAGTCCACCACAATCTTTTACTTCACAAAAAAGTTTACACTTAAAACTGAATAGTTGGAAATGTTTTTTTTTTTTTTTTACCAACATTACTATTCCCCAAGTTACCCAGTAATTTATATAAACCCTCTGAATATTTTGTTATAGCAAACTCGCTTGGTTATTTATCATAAGATTGAAATCAAAGATCAATTTTGCCTGTTCATTTACATAATGAGTTGAAACTTGAAGTAATATTGAGAGTGAGAGTCCAAGACAAATTATTTTAAAATTTCATACAATGCAATTTATCATAAGAAATATAACTCAACAAATCAGAATTGGCAGAATTAAATTTTAAAATAAACTCCCTTTTTTCTTCTAAGGTCTAGTTTACAAAACACAGCTGAGAAACAGCGCCATGCCAAGTAAACGTATTTTTATACAAGTTACACGTACGCAACGTGGTGCCTTAACACCGGCACCAATGACGACTGGTACAAGTGGTAGCGCAGGGGTAGCTGTATCTGCTGTCCTAACCTCCATTTCTTAAGCCTAAAATTTACACTACAGGAGCACAGGGCTACGTTAAGCCTACCTTGATAAAACGTTCAACGGCATCTTTCGCTACATCTAAAAGAGTAGGTCTAGCGCCAAGATAAGTTCTTTGATTCATAGACGCGCTAGTATCAACAAGAAATAATATAATCGTCATAGTGAAATGAAGTATTACGTGTTATTTAAGTGTATACAATCTAAAATTTGCAGCTTAACACTCATACGACTACTTATCATGGCGCCCATCCCAGCGCCTCCTTGTTCATTGCTCGTTCAGGGTTACCAACGCTGGTTGCCCACGTGATCTCGCTGGAATCTAACTTTATGATTGGCTACAATTTTAGCAGTCAAATTTGTACGTCACTAGGAAAACATATTCTACAAGTACTCAAGGTACCAGTCCGTTTTTCTCATTAGAATTCACGCGTCTCTCTATCACTCTTGTTCAACAAAATATAATTATTTCGTTATTGTTCATTTCTAGAAAACAAATGTAAGTTAAAAAATAATATCGACAATGATAAGCCAGTAGTTTTTGTGTAAAAATAATAACTTACGGCCATGAAAGAACCATTTAATTAATTGCTTCTCCATTTTTGTTAAATCCATAAAAGCCGTTTTGATTTCACAGGAGATTTTGGCAGACAGGAACAACTGTATCGCTATTATATTATGGCTGGCACTTACGTGTGTATACAAAAATGTGTTATATATATACATCCTATAAACGAAACTACTGTATACTGTCACAAGCAGCAAACATTTGTCAAACCAATATGATGGTTATATTTAATGACAAATACATACACTATGTCAGTCTTTGATCCATATAATTCTTATGAGAGAGATAATAATATAAAAATTACTCGTCACATATTATAAAATGATGTTCAAAAACAGTCCAAATCAAATACAACTACACGAGGTACGTCGCTGTTGAGATAGAAGATTTTGAGAATGCATTGGATCTCCTTCATAAGTGCAAATGCCATTCTTTCAGCAAAAGGAGTATAACCAGCATAGTATAAAGGAATTCAATCTTTCAAGGCTTGTTACAAAAGTGTTTTGGGTGATAGAAGAGATCCGCAATTGTCTAAGAAATGTCTGCAGTTACTGACACGGGTGTATACTGAAGTAAGTGATATCATACACTCAAACATAGGTGATAACTTTTCCAAATGATTGAAAGTGCTGGGTGCAGTCTGTAGCTGACAACACCCTCTCTCACATAACAGTAAAAAAAAAAATCTTGATCTTGTGTCATGCTTGCTATTTCTATTTAAGTTTTTGCATATCCTTAGCAGCACCCACATCAATACATTTGGGGGTGCTCAAGCACCCATGTTGCTGGTACCAATACATTCAAGATATGTGTCTGAAGATGGTCTCTATGATATGAGGACCACAGTAAAAGGGGTGGTCTTTTCTGTGCAAGAATTCAGTGTCACAAAGGTGTACTTTCTCAGTCTTCAGCATGATAGATAGAGTGACCAATCTATGCTAGCCTATTATTACCTGTGTCACACAGGCAAAAAAAATAAGCCGCTGTGGACCCATAACATTAGTAATATGGTTACTTGGACACAAAGAACACAGATTCACAATATCAGCTTTCATACCTGAAACTGTTGAGGATGTTGCAACAATTATCAGTAACACTATCAATGAATCAGACAATGCATGATGGTGAAATTTGAATACTTAGTGTACACAGCATGTGAAATGTGATATTTTATAGTTGACTTATAGAAAGATTAAATATGATTTTTTGAGTAATTTTTATCGTTTTCATTATTTGTGACATAAAGTGAAATATATAGGTAAATAAAGAAATTTAAAGAATGGGAAAAATACAACTCACAGATCTTTGCACTAAAAAAGGCATCAAGGGTATATTCTTTGTATTTTTTTATGTGATAACAAGATTTTAATCAGATGTTTATATATATTTTTGGACACTACCAAAATAAGCTTTATGATAACAAGAAAGATAAAATTAAAGGTGGTAAAAATGTGACAGATTACGAGTCGAGCGCCCTAACCACCTGGCCGTGCCGGGCCTAAAAAATATGTATGATAATGTACAATTTACTGGAGGGTCATGAGGATCGCAACAACCCATCCCATTTTGTTTTTACTATGCAGAAGCTTAGTGGCAGAAAACATGCCCAGCATTCTCACTACTTTTTTGTTTTTGAGGAGAAGGTGGAACTTAACTATTTAAAATCTTTTACAACACATTATAAACATAAATGATTCACCTTGAAAACAATGAAAAAAAAATGAAATAAAAACAAGTAAGCTCCAGAATGCAGTCTTTTTCCTTGCCCCCTGTCATCCCTACTAGAAAGGAAATGTGCCCTAAGCTTATAAATTCCCAAAATTGTTACTTCTTCACTACGTGTGAAACTGTGCTGATTTTGTGAAGGTGTGTAAAGAGCATACTAGCTCCTGATTGCTCAGTTATTCGAGCTGATGTTCATGCTCTGTTGATTTGAACTATATAATATTCATTATATAGAACGTTTTCATGAAGAAAAAACTTTGTTCTTCATAAATTATGGTGATTTTTACAATTATTTGCTGATATGTTAATGGTGCTGCACATTCACACAATGGTTGATGAACTAGAATATTAATTAGAATTAATATATATACCCCCTTTTTGTTATCAATCAAAAAATCGACTTTTTCTAAATGTTGCTCATAGCAAAATTAAATGTCATTCCCTATAAACTGGTATTAAGGAAGTTTTATTAGATTATCATGATGAATTTAAGAAAATGTTTTATCAACAAAATCTCCTTAATTCAGTCAAAAATTGGTTTAGCCAATCCAGGGACAAGTGCAACAGAACTGGCATCACTCCTAAAACAACATAAATATGATAAAAAGAAAATATTTGATAAGTAGACTGGAAAGAAAATGTTCTGGACTAATTTTAGAAAAGCACTGTCTGAAATAAAAAAAGTTTGATAAAATTAATCTTCCCCAAGGTGACCATAACAGATTTCCAACCCCATAATTTGTGAACAAACACTTGTTGTACATATCTTTAACTCAGTCCTAGGAGCGGCATACCTTGAATTCATATATAGGTATTCACACACACAGAGGGCCAGCTGGTTCAGTATGATAAAAATGTATTATTCAACCATACTGTATGAAAAAAAGTTGGTAAGCTGAGTTAATCAAAAATTCTAAACTAATATTTAAAACTAAAAATGGTAATGAAATAAATTATTTTGTTTCAGATCACTTGAATATATAATATCATAAAAAGTAAACAACTTTTGACAAATTCGGTAAATATTTTCAATACTTGTTCAATCTTAAATATTCACATGCAGACACTCAGAAGACAAATCGTTTGGATGCCAACCTCCGCCTTTGCCTGGTCCCAAGTCCAGGATGAGAAAGGAGGAGGGTTGGGTGCGGGGCTAGCAACTCCACCCCGTAAAAACCAACCTGCTACAAGTAACTGCAATAACACCTTCCGTTGGGAGTTTACAGGAATAAAAAAAGCAAAAAAAACAAAAAACTACAAGATAAATATATTCTTAGCACCAAATATTATAGGGTCTTTATTATGTCGTAAAATATATAATTATATGTGGTTGTGTGGTATATTTATACTTCACACACTAAACTGATAATGACTGATTATATTATATAACTTTAAGTTATTATATTTCATTTACAATTGGAGTGTGTGTTGTTAACTGTTTGTACAAGGTACTAAAACCTGTTCAAGATAGGTAGGTAGGGAGGTCAGTATTATTATTGGTTCACAAGAATAGATAACTTTAAAACTTCATTATTTCGAAGATGAACAAAACAGGAGGTCAATGTTAGGGTCGGTTTACATTTATACATGATAGCCTACACTTTCAGATATGCAGAGTAACCTAAAGTCTCAGTTCTAACACACATACTCATGGTAACCTACATTCTTAGTTCCAAGATATGCATGATAACCTAAGCTCCCAGGCATGCATGATAACCTAAAGTCTCAGTTCTAACACACATACTCATGGTAACCTACATTCTTAGTTCCAAGATATGCATGATAACCTAAGCTCCCAGGCATGCATGATAACCTAAGCTCCCAGGCATGCATGATAACCTAAGCTCCCAGGCATGCATGATAACCTAAGCTCCCAGGCATGCATGATAACCTACTCAATGAATTCAAAGATACATATTATTACCTACACTACCAGTTTCGAAGTACATTAAATAGCTTATTAAACTCTAATCGTGACGATTGAAATTTATCTAAATAAATATTGTTTTCAAACTTTGGAGTTACAAAAAAGGGTAAATGTACATGATTGATTAAGTCCATTGTTGTGCAAATATACGTATGCTCAACGCCATAGACTTTTGATCAAACGAAACACTAACATAGATCTCTAAAATCTTATCCGACAGCTCTTACCTATAGCACTGCATTAACGAGTTTCGGATTTATAACTAAAAAAGATCGTCAGGTCTGTAGTGTTTCTGAAACCACTCTAACCACAGGTGGCCGCTGTAAAGGTTTTTAATTGTTACCATATCTAACAGTGGAAAATTGAAAGTTGAAAAGAAAATCTTAAAGAAACTAACCATTTTGTGAAAACGTTTATCATTTTTTAAAGCTTTCAGTGCTGACTGAAACGATTTCCAACGAAGACGACAAACAAGTTCAGATAAATGTTTATTTATTCTAACCGACGTTTCGGCTTACGCCTTCTTCAATGGTCTATAAATGTCACAGGCTACAAAACTGATTTTAAATTATAGTAACTGAAAACAATATAAAACTATAACAATATAATGGTATGTTGCAGGTGAAGCGTACTAAAAGTATTGTTGAACATGTTAAAGTAGAGATCATAAAAGTAAAAGTTAAAGAACAACAACAAATAATAGTATTATAAGGACCAGGGATTGTATTTGTTAATGGAAGGGCGTTTGGATTGAATCAAAAGAGATTCTTTAAATTTTCTGTCAAGAACGTTGTCACAAATCTCTAAAATTTTGATCCGATAATGTGTCTCGTTAATTACATCGTGTGCTTTGATGTAATGTTCAACGGTGGTTTCTTTGTTGTCAAGATTTGCAGTGGCACGACTGGATTCACCTACGTATATAGTTGAACACTATATACATGTAATTTCCCAGACGGTGTTTTTAAGTGCGCAGGACTTCTCTTAGCCATTGGTCTTAGAAAAGCACTGTTTGGATTTGCACGGATTGTTGTTATTGAATAATGATGTTTATTTGACCATTTTTTTCAAAATAAACAAGCAAAAGACGATAGTTGAGAAACTTTAGAAAATTTACTATTTTGATTCAT